ATATATATATATATATATATATATATATATATATATATATATATATATATATATATATATATATATATATATATATAGCGCAGTGGTGTGGTGTAATGTTTTTAGCAAGCTTGTCTCGCTAGAACAATTACGAATGAGTAGTGAGATCGATCCTCATTGGGTGCCCCTTTCTCTCGGCCTTGTGCTACATCCAAGGTACGCTGGAAAATCCCAAAATATATATGTGTGTGCTTGTTTAAGAATATATATATATATATATATATATTCCAAATAATTCCAGGTTGAAGGAATTCTAACTACCAGAAAGAAATCACAGCGATTATTTATAAAGACTGTTGGTCGAAATTACTTAAGCGAAACTATAGCAACATATGTGCCACAGGCAGTAAATCTACTATTTTGAGGACAATACGTTACCCGAAATTTGGAAAAACATAATAAAAGATTAAGCAGACAAACATCAGTCCTTTTTAATCTGACTTTTTTGTATGTATACTTGCTGCTATAAATCGGGTCTGATGTCCGTGATATTTGATAAAATCTAACGGAGTATCAGGCATCTCGACTTCAGTCTCTTTCTCGCACACGTGCCTTGACATTCCCTTGTCTTTTCTTCAAATAGTTTCATGGCAACTGCTTTGATATGCTTTGCTCCCTTGTTACCCTAATTACACGAATTTACGCGTGCTACTAGAAAGGAATCAAAGTCCCACCCTTTTATTGTTGAAATAGATAAATGCAACTGACACTTTTACCTCAACAGTTTCATTTCATGACACTTCCCACTACGGACCTCTCTTTCTATTCTTTGCCTCCATGATAACTACAATCTTCAAATAATTTAAATGCGACGTCAATCTATATCAATAATATTTGGTTGCATGTCCATACCAGAATTTTAGGGAAAATGTATTGTGTTTAGAAATTTTCAGCACCACAACATATATGTATACTTAAACAACCAAAAACACACACACACATACATATATATAGGGTGCGATGGGTAAATTGTCACCATTTTATATATTTTTATTTTGCGCATGCGCGTTTGTTTTTTATTTTGTTGACTGCACAGTGTAGAAAGGTCTGTGAGAAAGAGAGCACCATGACGCAATTCACTCCACCAGAAATATACAAACGGCATGCTGTACTGATTGGCATTCGCGCCATATTCTCTAATACGAACATTTCAGAGAGCAGAATATTCAGAAATTGTTGGATGAGTCTAATGGTGATAACGAATTTACGACAGCTCGATAAACTTACTCTGACCGTTCTGATAAGAAAAGAATTTTCGAATTCGTTGGTTAGGGCCTCAGACTCAACATAGAGGCCTACATCAAGTGCTTTATGGAGGAAGACCTGCCCTGGATCAAGAAGTAGCTGGAAGACCCTATACCCGTTAACAGGACTCTAAACCATGCCACACAAGCAAGAAAATCCAGTCATGATTGTCAGACAATTTCTGCAACCGCATCATCCCTTACATCTGGCCAGCTAACTCCCAAGACTGCAAACCCCTTGATTATTATGAGTGGGGAGCAGTTGAGTGAGAAACCAACAAAACTCCTTGTAACATCAAAGATGAACCGAAGGCAAGGATTATGGCAGCGTTTACCAACTTAAACAAGGGGACCGTTCAGAAGAGTTGCAGGAGATTTCCAAGTAGTCTTGAGGCCGTGGTTGAAGCCAATGGCGATTTAATTAAATAAATTTACTATTTAGTATTTCAAGATATTTTTTTATCATTTTGGTAAACATATCTGTTAAAATGAGATGTCAGTGTTATCTTCATTTTTGCTTCAATTTACACGACAACGTATCCATCGCACCCTGTGTATATAGTAGCTAGGAGAAGCTAACAAGTTAAAATATGTGAAAGATTAAAGGAAAGAATATGAAGAAAATTAGAAGAAAAAGGTGATGGAAAAGAGGCGAAGAAGGGAAAAGGAAAAAAAAGAGTAATAGGCGAGAAGGGGAAGGGGCGTAAACGAAGAAACGAAAAAGAAGAGGCAAAGAAGTAAAAAAGAAGAACAACAAAAAATCAAGAAGATCAAGAAGAAAAAGCGGAAAAGAAAAAAAAGGAAAGGTAAGGAAGAAAAAGTTGTTAACAATAGGAAGAAGAGACATCAAGTAGAAAGAAGAGGCGAAAAAGAAAGGAAAAAGACGTAAGGAATTACAGATAGAGAAGAAAAATAAACAAGTGGAAGTAAAAGAAGAAATGATGTTGCAAGTAATACAGCCATCTAGAAGGATTCGTTAATAGATCTCCTCATATATCTAAAACATGGGTAAATAAACAATGTTTTCGAATATCGATTTACACATGAAAACTCGTAGATACAAATCTCGCTGGCTATCGACGTTTCTTCTCTAACTGCTTCATTTTCTCTATTTTTACCATTAATTGACAGGCGCAAGTTTGACAAATACAGTTAAGATCTGACCTCTCCAAATTACACTAAACCTTCCTCTAACCCGAAATGGCTTTAATGTTAAAATGTCGGTGGTGGTTGATGTGGCACAGCTTTCGCTGAAAAGCTGCAAAGGGTCTCAAATGAAGTTAGAAACGCTTAATAATGGAAATAGGTTGAGACGCGTTCCATAGACCTGGAGAAAATCGCTCGTTTGAAAAAAAAAACTTACTCAATAAAATGGAAGCTGTTAGAAAGAATAATGAACAATTTCTGTCTTGACTATATTTTTCTCGCTTTATTTTCTCTGTTTGAAAGTCTCATTCTTCTTCTTCTTCTTCTTCTTCCTCTTCCTCCTTCTTCTTCTTCTCCCCCTCCTCCTCCTCTTCCTCCTCCGCCTCCTCCTTCTTCTTCTTTTTCGTTATTGTTGTTGTTCTCATCTTTATCTCTATCCATACCATTTTCTCTTGTTCTTTTCTTCCATTTCTTCTCTTCGTCTTCCTCCTCCTTCTTTTCGCTTTTTTTTTTTTAACTCTATTCTTTTCGTCGTTCTTTTTTCCCCCAAATTTCCCTTTCACTGCTTCTTTTTATCGTCCTTCCTCTTCTTTTAATTATTGTCTTAATTCTTCCTCCAAATTTGATTCCTTTTCAAATCATCGTGTAGTTTCCTTCCCTACCTCCTCTTGCTACTTTATCTAATGGACGGATGTTTTGTCTTGTATCATCTGCCTTTAAAGTTTCCTGTTTTTCTTCTCTCTCTCTCTTTCTTTTTTCTATTTACTCAACTCGTCCTTCTTCCAAGTTGTATTCCAATTTTTATCTTTCTTTTCTTTCTCTTTATCTATTCCCTACATTCTTTTATCTATTTTCTTCTTCATCCTTCTTCTAATTTTTCTTTCATTGCTTCTTCTTTTGCTATTATCTTTTTATGTACTTCAACGTCATCTTTTTTTAATAAATTTCTACTGCATTTATTCCGCTTCTTCTTGCTCACATCTTGTTTTTTTTTATTTTTCTTACCTTTTCATCTCCATTACCATCATCCTCATTTTCTTCTTCTTCTTCTTCTTCTTCTTCTTCTTCTTCTTCTTCTTCTCTTTTTCTTCTTCTCCTCCTCTTTTTCTTCTTCTTTGTTACCTAACCACTTACAACATTTTCTTACGTTTATCAATATTTTATCTTTTCACATTTCAGTCCTTCACATTTTTCTATAGATAAATCTATTCTTCTTTCTCTTTCCTTGTATCCAGAGGATTCTTCCTCTTTTCTTATTCCTTGTATAGTGTTCATATTTGCTTCATTCAGTTCCTGTTTTCTTCTTTTTTTTTTATTTTCTTATATTTTTTTTTAGTTTTTCTCCGTTCATTTTTTTTTATTTTTTTTCTCCTTCCTTCATTTTGATTTCTTTTTTTTTGTCTTTCTTCCATTATTAATTTTCTTCTTCCTTCAGTTTCTGATTTCTTCTTTTTTCTTCTTCCTTCATTTTCTGATTTTTTTCTTCCTGGTTTTTTAATTTCTTCTTTTCCTCTTTCCTTCATTTTCTGTTTTCTTCTTTTTCTTCTGTCTTCATTTTCTCATTTTTTTCTTTAATTTTCTGATATTGTCTTCGTCATTTTTTTTTATTTCTTTTTTTCTTCTTTTTTTCTTCTTGCTTCACTTTCTGATTTCTTCTTTTTTTTCTTCTATCATCATTATATGATTTCTTCTTTTTCTTCTTCCTTCAGTCTCTGCATTTTCCTTTTCGCTTTCCTTCATTTTACAATTCTATTCGTTCATCATTTTTTTCTTTTTTTCTTTTTTCTAATTCTTCTTTCTTCATTTTTTCATTCATTTTTTTCTCCTTTCTTCATTTTTTTTATTTTTTTCGTCTTCTTCTTCATTCTTTTTCTGTTTGCTTCTTCCTCATCTTCTCATTTCTTCTTTTTCTTCTTTCTTCATTTTTTCATCATTTTTTCTTCTTGCTTCATTTTCTGATTTCTTTTTTTCTTCCTTCATTTTCTAATTTCTTCTGTTTCTTCTTCCTTTATTTTATTTTTTTTATTTCTCTTAATTCCTTTTTTTTGATTCCTTCTTTTCTTCGCTATCTCCATGCCTTTTTTCGTCTACTTTTTCATTTACCGCGTCTTCATTCATTTACCATGCTATTCTTCATTTGCAGATTCTGTCTTCTTTTTCTTATTCCTTTTTAATCTTCTACCCTTTCTTATCATTCAAAATGTCCCTTCTTTTGCTTCTCTTATCTTTATGTATTGTTCTTCATTTCATTTTCTTTTTTACATTTTCTTTGTATATTTTGTCTTTTTCCTCCTCCTCCTCCTCCTTCTTCATCTTCTTTTTCTTGTATTTCTTCTTCTCATTCTCGTCGTTTTTGTCATCATTCATTCAAGTTTGCCTTTTCTTTCAATTCTCCGTCTTTTGAGTGAAAATGATTGCTGTTTCCTCACAAGAAATATTGATTATTCGGCCGAAATTTTAAACTTATTTTATCTTCCTTCTTTTTTCTCTTTAGCAATCATGTATTTCTATCATTGTTTGCTTTATCCACTTACCATATCGTCACTCTGTTTCGTTTTTGTGTCTTAGAATTAACTCCCATGTCTTGCTACCTGGAATTTCTTCATTTCAATCTTGACACCCGGTTCCATCTTCAAATCTTGCGTGTTTTTTTTTTCTTTGTTTTTTTTTTATCATTCTTCACGGTTCTTTTTTCATACCTTCAGATTTTTACTTGTCACTAACTTTTGATCTCCATTATCTATTTCTTCATTGCAATTCTCTACTTCTATTTTTGATATCCCCTATCAATATCTATCTATCTATCTATCTATTTAATATGGTCTGTTCATGTCTATCTATTTATGTCTATCTCTATAATGTTCGGTTCATATCTATTTACGTATCTATCATGGTCTGTTTATATCTATCTATCTATCTATCTATCTATCTATCTATGTCGGTCTGTTCCTATCTATGTAGCTATTTCAGCCTGTTCATTATCTATCTATCTAGCTAGCTAGCTATTTCAGTCTGTTCATATCTATCTATCTATCTATGTCGGTTGTTCCTATCTATCTAGCTATTTCAGCCTGTTCATATCTATCTATCTATATATATATATATATATATATATATATATATATATATATATATATATTGGTATGTTCATATTTATCTATCCCGCTATGTTCATATCTGTATATTCTTTTCTGTTCATATCTAATGATCTATCTGGACAAAATTTATCTCATCGTTTTACCCTGTTCCCCGTTAGTCGACATTTGAATTTCCACTTACGCCTAATTTCTATCTCAGTTCTTTATCAAACATTTCAAAATTGCTTTCGTTTCTAGTTATCGCCATTTTCCTTCGCTTCTGTTCCGCTTCGTTTTTGCGTTTTGTTTCATTATTCGATTTTTACCCGTCCAATTTCTACATTTTTCCCCCCTTTTTCATCTTGTCTCACTTTGGTTTTTGGCGATTCTTTTTTCGTAATTTCCTAATTTTCTTCAGACTTTTCAATTTTCGTTATTTGTTTTTTTTTATTCTCTGCGCAGTAAAGCCTCATGTTTTCATTCTTTAAATTCGTTTTCTCCGAATCTTTGTTTTCCATTTTAATCCAGCCAGCTCTTTATTCTCGAGATAAATTCATATTCTATTCGATTCGTCTTCCACGGCCTTTGACGCCATTATCAGATAGTCGCCTCTTTACCAATATATTTGTCTTTTTCTTTTCTTGACGACTTTTTATTTTTATTCCCAAAGTTCACAATAATTAATTTCTGACTCTTCATAAAAGGCCATTTTTAACAGTGACATGTTTACCCATCAAACGTTAAGTCTTGTTATTCATGCTTACATTATACATTGACTCATTCAAATTATTTTCCCATCATTGATTGTTATAGATATTATTATTATTATCATATTTATTTTCTTTGATATCTGTCGTTTACACATTTCTTTCCGTGTCCCGCCCAGGGACCTAAGGTTAGAAATGGCATCATGACACTTTCCACTGACAAAAAAAAAAAAAAATTACATAGATAAAGCCCTTCGTAAAGTGTGGACTGTACTTGTCAGAACAATTTTTGTATCTCTTTGAGTCATGGACTTCCAGGAATCCCTTCAATTAATCTACTGGGATATTTTCCAACCAATCCTAGGGCTCCAACTACAACAGGGATTGTTGATGTCCCCATGTGCCACATTTTTGAGATTTCTATTTCAAGGTCCTTGCATTTTGACAGCTTTTTGAATATCTTCAAAGATACATTGCAGTCTGCAGGGACTGCTATATCAATAAGGAGGCACTTTTTTGTTTGTGGTCTTTAATTACAATATCTGGGCGGTTGGCTTTGATTGTTCTGTCAGTGTGCATTGTGTAGTCCTATAGAATTGTAACAGGTCCCATCTCCGTAACCGGATCTGTGTGGTGTTCATACCAGTTTCTTTCAGTTTTCTTTACCGTAGAAGTTGCAAATTTTCCAGTGCAGATATTGGCCCACTCTTATATTATTATTATTATAGTAGTAGTAGTAGTAGTAGACAGGATATTTCGATCAAGTAACCTTTCTTTAGGTATCAATTATTTGGGCTTATGGCAACAACGTTTTGTTTAAATAACATCATTGTCAATCATAACAATGATTTTGTCAGATACAAGTGGTAGTATTTAAGTGAATGTAATGAACCCTACTGGAATTCGAACTCGGCTCTCCGATATCATATTCCGAACCGCCATATACGACACCATCCGCGCATCCACGTCTATCTCCAAAGAGTACTCAAATATCTAAGGCTAAAACACTGCAGGCTGGGAGCTGGCATGTATCAGATTTCCTGTTTAAGCCCACAGGAATTAGGGCCTCCATAAAAACAGGAATGTGCACATTGCTCAAGAAATAAACTCTGTTCAATACATAAGCGTTTCCCCATTCTTCCAAAGTCTATCGTCCTGGGTAAGACGATAAACTACATCCAGCAGAAAGGCCTCTGATCAGGAGACTTTGAAGAGCATGAAATCACTTGTTAACTGTTGGTGTTTCCTGGTCCACCTGACTCGTTGTGGTAGCATCTGTTAGGGTCCCAGCCATGGTAAAACAGTTAACCCCCAGACTGGAATCAAAACACTATGAATGAGTAAAAATAGGTTTTAATACCAGAAATATATTTTTGTAAAAAATGACCAGCAATAATTTTTCTTTTTAAGCAAAAATTATTACCAGCAATACATTTAAAAAAAAAAATATTAACAGCAATACACTTTTTGAAAATAGTTTACTGGCAATAAAAATCTTGTCGGCAGTAAATAACCCATTGAGGTTAATATGCCGTAAAGCAAAACTAACCAAACCAAATCAGTCTATTTTATTATGGATTTTGATATCTAGACCTTCGCTTCCCTTTTTGGATAAAGGGAGTTGCTTAAGGTGGATTTTGAAATATATAGACGATGTTGAAGCTGTATAATAACATTGAATGTGTTATTTAACTGTTTTCCATCGTCCGTGAAAACAACAAGTACTCTTGTCTATCACGCCAATTTTTCTACCTTCAACAAAAGCGATTAACCACGAAGCTGTATTTAAAACCCAACATGTCCCAATCACAATCCTACACCTTCTACGCTTCACCTCGTTTTCTTTTATATAGATTGGCATAGTATGCCTGTCTTTGTAATTGACTGCGAGTAAGGATAAGAAAGGTTTTACATGCGAATTCAACTTTAGGGTTCTAAGACGAAGTTGAAACATTTTTGTCCGAATGAACTTGTTATGCTGAATGAACAAAATGTCGAGAAAAAAAAAACAGTTTAGTATGTAAGGGAAATCGATCTAATAGAATTAAGTTTGAATTTAGAAACTCGAACGAAGCGATTCGAAGGTAGATGAAATGTCAGGATTTAATATGTCACACAAATGGTTAAAAGACCTGGAACGTAACAAATATCAGAGGTTCAGGCGGTCGACCAAAGAGAAGTCAGTAGTCCAAAGTTGGAAGATAAAATGTCCTCTGAATTTGTAAAAGAAAAAAAAAATAACCTAAACGCGGGTCACGTGTTCTCAGGCGTGATCTTTGACTTTTAGCGCTGGAAAAAGGAAGTTTAAATATCCACAAAAAGAATAAAATAGAAGACGGAAAATATAATTAGGAAAAAAAAAGTGGGCAAAAGAGTGAGAGAGAAGGTAAGAGAAGAAAAGGATGATGATTAAATGGATAGTTTTTACAAAAGGAAGAAAGAAAGGTCAGAAGACAGAAATATAAAAGTAAAAAGAAACAGAAAAGAAATAAAGAATGGAATGTGAAAGTAAGAAAGAAAAAAAGAAAGAAAGAAAGAAAGAAAGAAATATGAATATAAATGGAAACAAACTTGAAAAAAGAAAGAAAGAATGAAATGTGAAAGAAAGAAAGAAAGAAAGAAATACGTATGCACATGGAAAGAAAGAACTGAATAGAATTTATATATCGGTAAGAAAGAAAGAGGGAAAGAAAGAAAGAATGGAGGATGAAAAAGAAAGAAAAAGAAAAAAGATAAAAGAACGAGAGAAAGAATAGAAGTTGAAGATACATAAGAAAGAAAGAAAGAAAGAAGAGAGAGAGAAAGCAAGAAAAAGAAAGACTAAAAGTTATATGTAGAAAAGAAAGGAAAAAAGAAGACAGAACGGCAGAAAGAAAAACGAGTAGAAGCAAAAAGAAAAGAAAGAAAGAAAGAAAGAAAGAAGGCGCCTGGAGATAAAAAAGAACGAAAGAAAGCCAGAAAGAGAGCAAAGAAACTAACAGAATAATCAAATAATTTTGAAAAGGAAAATAATAAATAAAAAAAAACATCAAGGCAAGAAATGAAAAATAAACGAATGAATAAAACGACTTCGTTCGAATCACAGTTACCCTTACATTGAGTTTAAAAAAAAAAATCGCCCACTCTTTACTTTCAGTATGAGCCGGTCTACATCAACATCCACGACCGCTTTGCTCAATGTTCGAAATCTCTGTGCTCGGGGCAAAGATAGGTCATCAGATCAGTTGAAAACCCGGATGTTGCCTCGATTCAGTTTCTCTGCCCAAGTGCAGTGACAGTGCGCTCAATTGCACGCATGCGCACAACTGCACGCATGCGTACAAATATCACGCCACCGTTTGTCATTTCTTCTTTTGTGAAAGTGGCAGAGGATATTTATTGTTATATTTTTCTTGTAACTATTTAACATTTTCATCTGCCTCGTTGATCTCAAATTCTAAAAAGAAATACGTGCTACATTGTCAATTGAATAGAAATTGGCTGATAGCGATATGTATATATATATATATATATATATATATATATATATATATATATATATATATATATAAAGAAGCGAACGTTTGTGTCCTTCTGACTTTCTTACTCTCTTTCATGCTCTTTTTCTATCTTTCTCCGTAAACACACGCAGGCACACACAGATATATATATATATATATATATATATATATATATATACAAGCACACTGAAGGGAATCTCTGTGTCCTTCTGCGTTTCTCCCTCTCTTTTACTCTCTCTATCTTTTTTCCCAGTATATATATATATATATATATATATATATATATATATATATATATATATATATATATATATAATTTTCTTTATACCTCTGAAAAATGTCCGACGGCGCAAATTGGCTTATATCATCGACTAAGGAAATTTTCAATTCTATTCACCCCTTCAATATTTATTTTTCTATTTTATTAAGAATATTCAGTTTCACAAGGGCTATAAAAAAATTACCTACAAAATATATTTACGCAGACTGGCAAATATTATTTTCTCACTTTCATGTTGAGGTAATTCATTTTTCGTTTGATGGTATTTGAAGCAACCATATTACGTTTGGTAGTTTCAAAAGAAGATATTCTTGTCCGACCCGTGGAGATACGAGGTATGTAAACAAGATAAGCACTTTTGTAATGCCTCTTCTCTCGCCATATACCTGTACATTCTCGTTCCCTTCCTTATCTCTAGCAATAGAATTATGATAATACGTTTTGTGACGACCTTTACCCTTCACGCAGCAATTACCTGTATCTTCTTGTCCTCTTCCTTATCCTTAACAATACAACTAAAAATCATCTTTTATCTCATTCCTCTTCTCTTGCCCTTTGCCTGTATCTTCCCATTCTCTCCCTTATCCTTACCAATAAAACTAAAATCATCCTTTATCCCATTCCTCTTCTCTTGCCCTTTGCCTGTATCTTCTTATTCTCTCCCTTGTCCTTACCAATAAAACTAAAAATCATACTTTATCTTATGCCTCTTCTCTTGTCCTTGCATGTATCTTCTCATTCTCTCCCTTATCTTTACCAATACAACTAATATAGCCAATTATCAAATTCCATTCCTCTTCTCAAGGTAACTGCTTGTATCTTCTTATTCTGTTCTTTGTTAATATTTTTAAAACTTAAGTTGTATTTTGAGTCTATAAAATCTCGTTTTTTTTTTTATACTCGAATCCACCCAATACAACATTCGAGTGCCACGCAAGGTAGACGTTTGGTGTCAAAATGGTGTGGTATGTGTAACACAGGAAGTGGTTGGAAACTTAGATTAAGAAGATTAGGATGATAGACTTTTGACTTGAAATTGCAGTGTTCAGAGAAGCATCGACACGAGCTTCTTTTCCAAAACGTAACAGTTCTTCAGAAAAGCATTTCTGATCAGAACTTCCTCCTTACAAGTGGAATACAGAGGAAATAAATGTGATTAAACGCCGGCAAGTAACATAGCGTGTCCTTGCCGTAAATATTTGAATTGATGACAGACTTGTGTGATACAATTTTTTCTTTTCTTTTTTTGAGGTTCTGTTCACCCTGTCTTAGGGTGATGGGGCTATGCATGGAAGATGTGGTTAACTCTAAACTTGAACTGGTTGAGATTATAGTGATTGGGGAAGCTACCTCTTGGTAGTCGTTTCCACAAGGCAGTAGTTTGTGGGTAGAAGCTGCTTGAGTGGAACTTGCCTTTCACTAGGAGAATACGAAGTGAATGAGGGTAGTTCGCTTCATGTGCGTGCCATAGCGGGTCTTTGCCGTGATGGTTAGGACCCCTGGAACTAAGGAATGAACAATCTTCACAGAAATAGCTATAAAACAACAAAATGCTTGAGACATCTCATCTGTGAAAAAATAATGTTGCAGAGTGGAAAATAATTCATCGCCTACAAGGACGCGAAAACGCTTTTGGACTCTATCGAGAGTGGAAAGTGCAAAATAGGCAGCGCCTGTCAATATATGGCAGATTCTCGGCCCGATCTCGCTCTTCTAATAGTAGAGGATGTTAACAGGGTAGAGGTTCTTGCTGGACCGAGATAGGGTACCGACAATTTTCTAGCATTTTAAGCAATGGATCGTATACACGAGTTCCACTTGAGGTCTGGGTTGAGCTTAAGCCCCAATAGCCGCTCAAGGTAGATGACCTCTCTGAGTGAACAGCCATTCATCGCGATTGGTGAAAGTTCTGGGTTTGATCTGCGATGGGTAAAGTCACTAAGTTAGTTTTTGAGAAATTGAATGTGGGCAGCTTGTTTTTCTCTGACCGAGCTGTTAGATCTCGTTCAGAGAGAGATCAGCTGCCAAACTCTGGCTATCGAGGGTTTTGGAGGTGCAACCATATACATCAGCCTAGATATGCACAAATTAACAAATACGCTTGAAAACAAAATCAAAAATTGATGAAAATTACAATGGTAGAAAGATAAAGAAATCAACAGCGATCAAACATCAAGTGACATTATAGAAGATGTTAAACAAGAAAGACGGAGATAGGCGCAACACACAGAAATATTAGATGTTTCCTTATAAGGAAACATTTGATGTTCATTGTGAGAGTAATCAGTCCTACGATCGGTTGAAAGTTACAAAATATTTATTTACATTATTCGGACTGTTGTCCTCATCTTTATTGCCATATTCACAACGTTTCGGCCGTTGTACGCTCCGGCCTTCTTCAGGTGATTGGAATTTCCAACTGAACCCTTTCTTTCATTCACCAGCGTAGATTTTTCTAGTTCCACGTGCTATGCCTCGCCCGGATATCTCAGTTATCTCCCTTTAACTCAACTCTCCAAATTTTTGTTCACCACTGCTGGAGCCAAATATTGAACTCACAACTCTTTGGGTCAAGTTAGTTGATCGAACCAACATTTTTAGTCACTGGGCCATGTGACCTAAAATCATATAAAATATTTCTATTAAAATGTTTTTCATGAACATTGCTTTCTCAAATTCACTGTTATCTCTCTTACCGGTATTCCTTCCTCGACTGCTACTCGAAGTAGCGTGGAAAGTCAATATCTTGATTTTGTCATTATTTTCTGTTCGATTTACATGTGCTATCCATTTTAGTTGTTGCTGCTGTTGAAAGTCCTCAAGTGCTGTGGTTTCTGCCGTTTGGAAAATTTCCTTCTTTGCGATTGTGTAGCGTCAATCCATGACCTGCAAAGAAATATAGTTCTCGCTAAAACCTACATGCTTGATTCGCTCGAAGTCATTTTAAATCGTCGATCTAAAACAGTGGTTGTAAACAGCTGACACTTTAGGAGTCTGGCGATCTGATGACGCTATTGAAGAATATGATTTAATATTTAGGCTAATGTTTTAGTTTTGTAACAACTTGCGGTGTTGGGTGAAACTACTCACAGCGCCACCTATTATAGATTCAATTTCCTTTACTAAATTTGATAATACTAACCGATAGCAAAAAGAAAGCCGATTATAACTGTCAAAGCAAGAAGAAAGGATAAAAAAATGGAGCAACAGTTTGGTTTATTCTTTGAGCAGCAAAAAAAAAAAAATGACCAGACCGAAAATGAAGTAAGTATTTAGAAAAGTTTAGTGTTAAGTCAGGACAGAGAATATTACAGTTACGCTCGTCCCCAAGGGAACAGGAAAAATATTTCTCCTGCAGTGGAATTTCAATCGTTGCCGCTTCTGCTGATGAGGATATATATTCCTTCCATCTGATTTTAATTTTGCTTTTCTTTAATTTTCCTTTTTTTCTACTTTTGCTCTCTCACATCCAGTTTGGCAACTGATATTTACCATAGCTTTTAATATTTCTTCCATATTTTTAACTTTTTTTATGTATATTTCTCGCTCAGAAAACGCAACACATTCAAACTCTGAGGATAGGCTATAAACATTACTCTTTCATCCTGAATAGAAATACGGAATTGTCTTATACAGAAACAAATACAATCATTGCATAGATTCGTGACGAGAATGCATTATTCTAGGTCAGAATAGCCAGAAGATTAGACAGATACTACACCGTGATTCTAAGTAGAAAGATTAAATGTCATTCACACAAACAAGTGTAATAATAGCATAGATTCTTGGTTAGAAAGCAAAAGAAATTCTCGCTCAGAAGTGCCACGATATTAGACAGATACTACACTATGATCCTAAGTAGGAAATTTAAACGTCATTCACACAAACAAGTGTAAAAATGACACAGATTCTTGGTTAGAAAGCATAACAAATTCTCTCTCGGAAGTGCCACGATATTAGACAGATACTACACTGTGATATTATTGCAGAAAAGAATAATAGTTATACATAAATTGAAATCGAATGTTTTTTTTTTGAGGAATCCGCTCATTCCGGTTCAGAATTCTAAGGTATTGAACAGATTCTGCACTCTGATTCTAAGTCGAAACGCATAATTATAGTACATAAAAAACAAAAAAAAAGGAATAATAGTGATGATTATTTCAAGATATAATTTTCTTCACCTGACAATGGGAGAAGACAACTTTTTCTATTATAAATAACAAGTATTAATATTTATAGAGAAGAGAAAGAGCAGCATGAAGACAATTAAATTGAATAAAGTGATTTGAAAATCTGGAACCATTAGATATTTACAGACAAGTAGAAATAGAACTTGCTTATCATAGACTGCAATTTTATCATATACCCGCAGATAACTGGTGAGACTAACGCGATATGCATGTCCTATAAAAGTTACGGTATGACAAGATTTGAGAAGTGAGCTAATGATTAATTTTTAGTGGATTTAGTATTTTGTGACCCAGTCTCAGAAATGGTTGTACGATTGTCACAAAAAGGGAGATAATCCGGGTCACCGGGTCTTATTGTTATTATTTTTTCTCTCTATTAGTTTATCACTTCTCTATAAAAACACCTCAAACAGAAGAACCTTTAGATCTTCCGTGAAATATAATTTATTCGGTATTTTATAGTATACTTGAATAATTTTCTATTTTTCTTCTTTGTTGGTAGTAGTTTTCTCATCTTCAAGGAATTTGTGATTGTTGTTGTTGTTCATGTAATATAAGGCCCAAGAGCCATTAAAGGTAGAGCGTTAATGAATGAGTTTGTGTTAAGATAACAGTTGTCTCTAGACTTGAATTGGGTGTGATTGTATCGATCTAGGAAGCAACGTCCCGGGAGTCTCACTAAGTAACAATTCTTGGGAGGAGGCTGTCCAAATTTTTTGTTGCACGAAAGTGTGGCCTACCCTTAACAATTATTGTGGTTTTATTGAAGACTATAAGAAATAAGAGCTTTCTATTGAATTAAAGACACGATACTTTGTAATGAATCTAATAAAGATTATAATTCAGATTAGTTTGTGCTATCTGTAACGTTATAAATAATAAAAGTTGACGTAGATTAAACCCGGTTTTATGTTAATATATATTTACTTGGAAATTAGAATTACTGACGTCATACATACCTTTTATTATTTTCTCAGGATAATATGAATGAACACTTAAATATTAAGCGCCACTACGCTTTATATGTTGTTATCAATTATCGATTCTTTACCCACACACAATAATATTGTAGCAATTTGTAAGGGAAATAGAATATGGTAATCAATAATTAGGTAGTGTTACTAGATCACATTGGCTAAACCAACACTAAAATAGAACGGTGTGAAAGAGAAGAGCACATCATATAAATTTGCAATAGGATATATATATATATATATATATATATATATATATATATATATATGTGTGTGTGTGTGTGTGTGTGTGTGTGTGTGTGTGTGTGTGTGTGTGTATAAAAGCCTGACGATTGGATATAGCATGAAACAGACTGTCGCCTCTAAGAGTTGACTTCTATGTTCACTTTTATATTTACACACGCTCTATCTCTGATATCAGGCACTTTATCCCATAAATATAAAGTACACCTTAAGACTATATATATATATATATATATATATATATATATATATATATATATATATGTGATGAACTCTCCGTCGTTTGAGTGTCTTTCAGTTCCGTTTTATATGTTTATGTTTCGTATGAGATCCTACACGGGATCTGAAAACAATCCATATGAGAGACATGCTGAAGGCTTTGACCGTCAAATGGGCCATCTTGGCCCCAGATTTACTGTTGTTTCTTAATTCTCTCAGATGATTGAGACGATTCTTTTCAAATTTAGTTATCCCTCGCTGGTTAGTTTTCCTCCAGTTTGATCGGTTTTCAACAGCAAGTTCGAACTCCTCTATAGGATTGTTTGCAACAATTACATTGTATTTAAGTTTATCCTTGAAGCGTAACAAGGGACAGCCTACATTACGCTTAGCATGAAAAAGTTGGCTATCCGATCATCCCTCATTCTAATGACATGACCAGCCCATCTTAACTGTGATTGAATTCGATACCACCGATGCCACATTTGATGAAAAGATCAGGGTTAGATATTTTGTCCTGCCGTGTAGAACCGCATATTGAACGAAAACAGTGTTCATGAAAATCACCAAGTTGATTGATGTTCATCCTGTATGGCGTCCACGATTCTGACCCATAAAGAAGTGTGGTGAGTAGACATTGATTTTCGTTTTCATTGAAATCCCACGAACATCCCATAGGTGATGCTTAAGCTTACCAAATGCATTGGTTGCCTTTTTATATATATATATATATATATATATATATATATATATATATATATATATATATATATATATAAACTTAAATCAACGTGTTACGAGAACCTGTTGAATGCTATTCTGGCCATGTTAACAAATATCCTCTTACCTGAATATCACACAGTTCCGAGAATGCCAGCCATGGTAGCTTGTACAATTCCTTAACCCGAAAAGTTGCCAGACCTGTTTTCATCATACTGTATTTTAGTATTTTCCTATTTATTGATAAAACAAAATTGTTCATAAATAAATATAGATTAAAATACAGTGGAATCTCGGTTCACGAATTTAATTCGTTTTTGAAGCCCGTTCGTAACCCGCAATGTTCGTAAAGCGAATAGTAATCAATGTAAAATGGATTAATCCGTTCCTGGTCCCAAGATGATTGCTTAAGTTTTACAACTGTATTTATGCACAAGTTTATACACAAGTTTATACACAAAACTGATGAAAATCATTAAGTCTAAGAAATAATCTGTCTATATTTCTGAGATGAGGTATTACGTACACCAACCAAGCATAGAAATAAATACAATATGGGAACCAGTAATAAGGAGTGCCAGAGAAAAGCAATGATAACAACAAAGTTGCAATATGAGCTCTGATAAAAAACATGCAATGATAACAGCAAAAATTTCAATATGAGCACTGGTAAAAATGGTTGCTGAAAACATTAGGTTTATAATACCCAGAAATTCATACCCAGATGTCCTCAAGGCACAGTGGATAAAGCGTTGGTGAGATCCAGTGACAGGACCCAAAGAGTGTGAGTTCAATACCCGGTTAAGGCGGTGGAGAACTTTCAGAGGGAAATTAACAGAAGATAACTGATAACTCCACATAAATAGTCTAGAAGAGTCTACCCCAGTGAGCGAAATAAATGGTTCAGTTCGAAATTCCAACCACCTGAAGAAGGCCGGACCGTGATAAATATGGCGACAAAGATGCAGACAATAGTCCGAATAATGTAAATAATGTCTAAGAAATAAATAAATAAACCCAATACTAAACAGATAAAATATAGACAAACATTTTAATTTTATCTTGACGTAAGTGGAAGAGAAAGGAATGTTATTGTTTGGAAAATGGAAGGAAAGACATGATCGTCTGTTTTATTTATAAGAATAGTATAGGTCGTTA